TGGGTGGAGATGGTGGGCTTGGCTGTCTGGAACAGGGGAGGACTCGGACAAGGTATTGGGGTTGTGCAGTGGTTGGAGCTGTGGGTCGGGGATGGGGGGGGGGGGGGGGGCTGTTGGGCTGGGGTTGGGAGCTACGGTGGGGGCAAAGGTGGGTCTTGGTGTGGGCTGGGGGCTGGGGCATGCTGGTGCCGGAGGGGCAGGGCGCTTGTGTGATGCAGGGTAGGGGCTGAGTGAGGCTGGCGGCTGGGATGCGATGTTGGCGCTGGTGGTCGCAGCCGGTGGTGGCCGGAGGTGGTTGTCACCTATGGTGACCGGGGGTGGTGATTCTAGATAGTGGCCAGGGTGGTGGTTGACACGGGTAACTACAAATGGTCGGAAATTAGGTAACTGGTGGGTGTTGGATGGGAGTAATTGTAACTGCTCGATGATGATCACAAGGCGATTTGCCACTACCCTAGAATCACTGTATGAATTGGTCACTGTAACGGTTGACGACAATCACTGTAAATGTTGGCGGCGGTCACTGTAACTGTCGGTGGTGGTCACTGTAACCGGCGGCCGGAGGTGGTCACTGTAACCGGCGGCCGGAGGTGGTCACTGTAACCAGCGGTCGGAGGCAGTAGTAACTAGAACAGTAGTAACTGAGACGATAGTAACTGGAGCGATAGTAACTGAAACGATAGTCACTTAAATAATAGTAACTGGAACGGTGGTCACTGGGACGGTAGTAATTGGGACGATGATCACGGTAGTAATTAGACAAGTATACCTTGTTTAGTCGTACGTTTGGAAATTAAAAAGAAATCCCACTTTTTTGTCCATTAGCTTTTTTTTACTAGTATTCGTGTCAAAACCCCTTGTCATTATCATTATCATTATCATTATCATTATCATTATCATTATCATTATCATTATCATTATCATTATCATTATCATTATCATTATCATTATCATTATCATTATCATTATCATTATCATTATCATTTGGCTTTTTCAAATTAATTCCAACCCCCCACCCCCACTCCCCCACCAACCTAGCAGCCCAAAAAAACAAAAAAAAAATTATTTAGGCCCGGACCGGTCCATCATTTAGGAAGCCCATAGCCTGCCAGAAAAATGCTCCGGTTCGGGCCTCAGTCCCGGTCCCGGCCGACCAGGTCGGCCCTGCACAGTAACGGGCCGGGCCGGGTACCAAGTGGGGTCGAACCGGCCCTGTCCACCCCTACATTAGAGCACATAATTTTGAATCACATGAGTAGCTTATTATAAAAATAGATTCAAAAGCACATAATTTAGATTTAATGGCTCTAATTACAATAAAATTATAGGCACATGTTTCTTTAGTAAAAAAGGTCCCTTTGTAATTATGTCAAACTTTGATGCATTATGATAAACATATTAACCAAATGTCCAAATTCAAACCGTTTGTGTGTGTACGTGTGCTTGTATATATGTGAGAGAATCTTTCATGTCCAGCCGGCTTAACGGGAACTGTCGTCTGGACGAGGGCATTTCAGGCAGTTCCCGATATAATTGTTCGATGATTTTTTTAAGCATGTTCTTTATCAAGTCTAGTTTATCCATACCAAATTTAAGCTATAAATTCAATCGGGAAGACAATCAAATGATTTTTTTGAAAAATACTGCGCTTTTATATATATTAACTGTGCAGTGTTCGTAAATAATTTATTTGACTGCCTTCCCGGTTGCAGTTTTAGCTAAAATTTGGTATGGATAAACTAGACTTGATAAAGAACATGCTAAAAAAGTTTCATAAAAAAATTCCACCTTGGAAGTGCCCTCGGCCAGACGGCGGTTCCCGACAGGTCGACTGGACAGGAATAGGACTCATATATGTGAATATATAATTTAGCTCAAATAAAGTAGTTAAATTTTTTTGAAAGAAAATCCAGTTATTATATTAATTTAAACAATTGCTCAACAGATGGCTACAAATACAGTACACCAAGTACAACGATAAAAATCGCTACAACCATTTGAGAAAGGGCTGGCCTAGCTAGACTATGAGCTGCATGATTCATGCATCGTTTACAATAACTAACAATAAAGCTAGCTTCAAATGAAATTGTCTGATATCTTCAATCACCACATCAAAATAAGAATTTCCAGGTTCGCCTTCTAAGCTAGTCGTGACAACTTGCGCATCCGTCTCAATGATCACTCGGTCTCATCTTTTCCTTTCTGCCCAAGCTAAAGCCTCTCTCACCCCTATAGCCTCCGTTATTCTGACAGGCCAATCTGCTTTGCAAGAGTGCCATCCACCTTCCATAAAGTTACAATCAGGGTCTCCTGCTAGGCTGCTACCCAACTTCAGGCTCTTCTGGTTCTGTGATCTCAATTGAGCCATCCACGTTATTTTTCAATTCCCTTAGAACAGGTCTCTTCCATCTGGTATTCGGTTTCACCCCTCCACGAGGCGGTGTTGACGTGCCTTGAGCCGTCTACCATCCTTGAAGCATTACAACTCCAATATTAATCACTTATGAGTGATTGAAAGATTTATTATTCCAAACCACTTTGTTGTGCTCCTTCCAAATACTCCATAGCAGTGACATAAATTTGCATAATTCCTCCTCTGTTATGATATTAAAAATATGTTCCATCCAGTCTTGCAAAGAATTAGTCGAACGCTTGAAATCCATCCCTGCTTTACTCCATACTTCGGCCATCACTCAGGGATGTCAACCTTCCTCTTTCTCAGTCTATTCGTCGGCGGTAATACGCCAGCCATTACTTGCCAAAAAAATGTTTGAACTTTAATTGAATAAAGTAATTAGATTTTTTGGAAGAAATGAAATAAAGTAATTAGATAGAAATTAGAACTAAATTTTGCATGTGAATTGGAAATTTTAATGGGAAATAATACTAAACGTTGGTGAATTTTTTATTGATAACATAGTGACAAAAACTTTATCGTTATATATTTAATGTGAACATGTCAAATTGAGTTTGAGATATAATGGTTCTACACATATCAATAATAATATCACAAATTTAATGAAAATGTGTTTTTTTTTTTGTAAATATATCGAATTTGTATGTAATTGCAAAGAGTGCAATCCTTGATATACTAATTCATCATGTTCACGCCGGAAGCGTATATGATACAGCCGGCTGTACGGCTGGCACCGTACATCCGGTGACAATTTTGTAATTTTCGTGAAAATCCCGATTTCTCTTAACTGAGCATTTATGCAATTGTGATGAACATCGAGTCTGTTCTTTTGAGTAATTAGGAGTCTAGCACCAATGATTTCTGCTTCATATCTTTTAATTCAATTTCTTTTTATTATTTTTTCGTTTATAAAAAATTCTTAAATTATGATTATAACCAATTTCAATTTATTTCAATATCTGAATCCAATGTAGTATGATGCGTTTGAAATGTGAAACATTTTTAAATGAGCATAAAACAATACAAAATGAGCATATGTAACTTACAAAATGAGTATCAAAAAATTCAAAAGCTCATTTGTGTATGCTCATTCATTTTGGCCTTATACTCATTTGAGTTTAACATAATGTAGTATGATACGTTTGAAATGTGCAACATTTTAAAATGAGCATAAAGAGGTACCAAAATGAGCATACATAACTTACAAAATGAGTATAAAGAAATTCAAAACATCATTTGTGTATGCTCATTCATTTTCGGTTTTATACTCATTTGAGTTTAACATAAAACTCATTTTTAATATGTTCAATATTCATTTGTGTATGTTCATTCTTTTTAAGCTTATACTCATTTGAGTTTAATATAAACTCATTCCAGCTAGATTCGTCAGCAAGAAGTATGAACTCAAATCTCCTAAATTATCTTTCAATCCGTCTTCCCGGTACTCCGACCAACAAAGAAATTACCAAGAGCCGCCAGAGAGAGCTTGAGGAGAAGAGAGCGACCAGAGAAGCGGCCTGCCTGGTGCGCGAGATCAGATAGAAGAAATTAGCGAGATTGAAGAAGCAACGTCGAAGTCCTGTGCAAGCAGCGCAGAAGCAGGGGTGAAGATCGGAGAGCAGCGCAGAAGCAGTGGCGAAGACCGGAGAAGCCGTTGCTAGGGCGAGAAGCGCAAAAGCCTAAAAAAGGCCGGGTGTACCGTGCGCACGATACAACCGGCTGTATATTGTATTTTACGGTTCACGCCTGTGCATGTCAGCATGTTGAGTTGATTTTCACCATTTCACCAAAAGTAAACCAATATAGAATTCTGCTCGAACAAAAGTATTTAGTTAAGAACTATAACTGAATTTTGCAATTCGATTGAAGAAGTAAAGGAAGACTTCTATATTAAAGGTTGATGATTGTAAATATGAAAAACTTTATGAAAACGCAGTGATAAATAGGGTATTCTATAAAAAAGAAGAAAAAGAAGAAGAAAAAAGAGATTAAAATAAGGTATTCTATTTTATTTTTCCACTAAAACTAAAATTTAAAACAAATGTTTAAATGTACAAGTTTACTCTTATGAAAAAAGTATGGAATTGGTATCCTTGATAGTTTCATATTAAAGTTCCATAGAGAATTTTATCATGTTTTTTATGAATAAGTTGATCTTATTAATGTTAAGACAACTTAATTTTATTCTGTCCTAATAGGAATTTAATCTAACTAACTTTGAATTAATCATTATATCACCAAAGTGGTATAATTTTATTACTTATGGGAGTATAAGAATGAATCATTAATCTCAACGGTAAAACTTTAATTTTTATGGAGTAATTTGAGTTTGCATCTTGGAATTTGCACACCATTTTTTAAAAATCTTTGTGTTTTCACATCACCCTGTATGAAAAGATAAAAACGCCTCTCGACCAGGAATATGTTAAAGACAAACAGAATTATTAATGGAGGGGCGTTTTTGTCTTTTTGTCTTTCATATGAGATTGTGATCCAAATATAAAACTTTTTGATGAGAGGATGCAAAATTCAATTTGAACAAAACTCAAATTACCCTAATTTCATTTAAACATAGGTCATAGGTGTGTGAATCTTCGTTTTCTGTTAATATTTGAGAGTAAAGATAAAAAAACTAAAGCAGGTGGAGTCTTCTTTCCTCATACATATTCTTCTATTTCCTTCTTCGCATGAACTGCATGCCTGGCCAAGGTAAACGATAACGTCTGCAAATTCGAATCTTCAAGACTCCAGAAATCTGCAAGAAAGAAACAGCTAATTTCCCATTATTTATCGGGCTTCTTAATTCGCCAGCTCTACGCGTCCGTCTTTAATTTTTGCAATCCAAGCCGCCGTTCTGATCGCCATATATTCAGCTGGAGGAACGTGGAGATCTCAGCAGGTTAGTCGATTAACCATTTATGATATTGTTCATCACATCTATCGCGAATTGATTATTTGTTCAATGGAATGCTGACATTTTCTCTGTGGACGCTTTGCGTTCGTATTGGTTTCTGATGCATATGCTCTGATTGCTCGAACTATTGATTACCCATTTCACATCACATGCACCCAATTGAACATGAGCTCGCATGAAATCTCCAATCTTTCTGCACTTTATTATGGTGATACCGATAATGGGTCATTGTTAGCTGAACCAGGAAAAACTTTGAACCGAAGTATATTCTTTGCGATCCTATGGTAGGAAAGCTAGAGCTGAAGTTTTTGTCAAGAAGACAAGATTTTGGGATTGGCGGCCGAGGAAGATTGTGTTTGTGTTTATGATGACTATGTTGATGGTTGGGTCAAATAGGCCTATCCGGTGGTTGGGGCTAACCAAGAATTGTTTCAGATGGAATGGCAGATCCTGTTAGTCATGGCAATGACCAGGTTTGTCAATATTAATACCCTTTTCTGTGAAACCAAATTGAAGAATGCAACACCTAACTGGAATGCTCTCTAAGATTGGTAATTGTGTTGGTAGTTTGGTACGATTAACTATTGATATTAACTATAGTGGGGCATACAGTTGCTACATAATGAATTTGGCTCATTCTTGTATGGTTGTTGGTACTACATGAATCTTCATAGTCTTCCACCCTATCTGATGCCATGTTATGCTTCCCTACTTAATGTTTTATATATGAGTAATAAGTTAAGTTTCATATATTTTGTGTGTAAACTGTTCTTTAAATACATGCCACATGTTCCGTGTCTTTCTTTCTCTGGCATGTTTCTCTGAAGGGGCTCCTTGCTTTGAAGAAAGGTACACAGCTGATTAAGTATAGTAGGAAGGGGAAGCCGAAATTGTGTCCTTTTAGACTTTCTCAGGTAAATTTCTTATTAATTTTTTTTACTTTGAATATGACCATTCAAATTTGTATTAAATCTCGCTATCTTGCTGTTCATCTCATTTAAAATTTTACAAGGTCATTTGCCACATTTAGGCAGTGGTTTCAGTTCTTGGAAATAGTCATTATTAAAACACTTATGCTTTATTTCAAAGGTAGTTTCTTTCAAACATTATCCCATTGATTGATAATTAGAATGTTGATCAGGATATAATTATGTGGCTAGGTCTAGTGTATAACGCTTCTGATATAGGAAGAATGATGGCATGTAAACAAATGTATAAACTCTTCATTTTGATTTTATTTCAATGAAGCCAATATATTTTCATTTTACATTACTGTTTCTTTTCCCGCTCTTATAGATACTATAATCCGTACATAGTAATAATAAGGCATTGCCAGCAAGAAAATTTTCCTCTTCTAAAATACGTAGTATATAGGATGAAATGAAGTGCACTAGTTATCATTTATGTTAGGCCATTGATAATGTTTTGAACTAAATTACACAGTTTGATTAGACCTCTCTTTATTTCAAATATGAAGATTTTAACCAATTGATAATGTCTACATATCATTCTTCATCTATTCTCCTAAACCCAATGATTTAGCTTTCTGTTAATGTGCTCTTCCTTTCTTTGTTCTCATACATATAATCTCATAAGTAGTTGCCCAAGCAGAAATACAAACCTGTTATATGCCGAAGTTGATATTGGAAGTTTGACTGAATCTAAATTATATGTCATACGTGAAATTGTGAATCCATATTCTTAATCTTAATGGTAAATAAGCTCCAGATGATAGAATCTTTTAATGTGCAATTCAAAGTATGAGCTTTCCTTATTCTTAGTTATGCAAAATACGTAATGCTAATTGTAAGAATGTTTATTTGATAAAATTTGCAGGACGAAAAGACACTGATCTGGTACTCCCATGGTTCAGAGAGGAATCTAACGCTAGCTTCAGTTTCAAAAATTATTCCTGGGCAGAGAACAGTGAGTTAGCAAATCTTATTTAGGGTAGATTGATGGTGATGATTATAACAATACTCCCTCCGTCCCCCTATAATTGTCCCATTTTTCCATTTTTGAATGTCTCACTATTATTGTCCCATACCATATTTGGTAAGATTTGTGCGACTGTAATTAATTATTATTTTCTTACTTTATCAACTCATTATCAACCATATAATTCCACTTTTCCTAAAAATCACACCACTCCCTTTCGTCCCAATATTACGGGGACGGAGGGTAGTACTAAGTAATAATTTGTATTAATTTTTTTCCTGATAGAATATTGAGCCTTGAACTTGTTACTGTATATACAGCCTGTATTCAAAAGATTTCTTCGTCCAGAGAAGGATTACTTATCATTTTCTCTTATATACAACAACGGTGAAAGATCTCTTGATCTGGTTAGTAAACCATGTGAAGTTCGATGTTTACATTTTGAATTTAAGAAGCTGTTTACAAAAAAAGCCATGATGGTAGTATATAATTTGTTCCCACTTTTGCAGATTTGCAAGGACTACGAGGAAGCAGAGGCTTGGATTGCTGGACTGACAGCCTTAATTCCTACTGGCCAAGCTTGCAGTAGGCGTACTCGAAGTGATATTTCAGATGTATAAGATTCTCACTCTTTACTGATACATGTATTCTTTCCATGAAAAGAAATGAGAGATAATTTTGAGACGAATGAAAATGGAATACATGGAAAAGGGACAGGGTATTAGAATGTCAAACATCACCTTAACTCCTTATTGGTATTAATTTGGATAAAATAATGATGTCTATTCATATGTGTGCCATTTGGTAATGGACTTAAGATATTTTGAGCTTGTGACATTGTTCATGTTTATGTTGTTGCAGTTTCATGATGGTGGATACCCGTTTGGTGCAACATTAGATTACACTTCTAGCATAACTCGAGACCGGATCTCAACTGACTCCAGTTGTCGCGAAACATCCTTGTACTATCCAAGTTCAGATGTTGGATCGGAACGACCATCAAAGATGCAGGTAAGAGGGGGAGACGGTTTCCGCATTAGTGTCTCCAGCACTCCAAGCTGTTCAAGTGGAGGTTCTGGGGCAGATGACATAGAATCATTAGGTGATGTCTATCTATGGGGGGAAGTTTGGTCTGACGGGACATCAAGAGATGCATGCGGCAATCCGATCCCCGTAAAACAGGATGTCCTCACACCCAAACCGTTAGAGTCCAATGTGGTCATCGACGTTCACCAAATCGCGTGTGGGGTCCGACACATAGCCCTCGTCACGAGACAGGGCGAGGTTTTCACATGGGGAGAGGAAGCCGGGGGCCGGCTCGGCCACGGAGTCGAAAAGGACTTCAGCCGGCCCCACTTGGTTGAGTTCCTGGCAGTTACGAGCGTGGATTTCGTTGCGTGTGGCGAGCATCACACTTGTGCTGTGTCCCAATCCGGTGACTTATACACGTGGGGCAACGGGTCTCACAATGCCGGGATTCTAGGACGGAGGACTGACGTTAGCCATTGGATACCCAAGAGGGTTTCGGGCGCTCTAGAAGGCCTCCAAGTTCTTTCTGTTGCATGTGGCACTTGGCATTCGGCTTTGGCCACCATTAATGGGAAGCTGTTCACGTTTGGGGACGGAACATTTGGTGTCTTAGGTCACGGCAACCGTGAATCCGTTCCATGCCCAAAGGAAGTCCAGTCATTGAACGGGCTCAAAACGGTTAAGGTGGCGTGTGGCATATGGCACACCGTGGCGATTGTGGAAGTCATTAACCAGTCCGGTTCAACCAACGCCGCCTCTAGAAAACTGTTCACTTGGGGCGATGGGGATAAGAACCGGTTAGGCCATGGAAACAAACAGCCATATCTCCTCCCAACCTGTGTATCAGCTCTTATAGACTATAACATCCACCAGATCGCCTGCGGGCATAATATGACCATCGCACTCACCACATCGGGCCATGTCTTCACAATGGGCAGCAATGCGTACGGTCAGCTGGGGAACCCGGACTCCGATGGCAAAGTGCCGTGTCTCGTACAGGACAAACTGGTCGGAGAGTTTGTCGAGGAAATAGCCGCCGGTGATTTCCATGTCGCCGTCTTGACATCGAGAAGTGAGGTTTTCACTTGGGGAAGAGGCGGGAACGGGAGGTTAGGCCATGGAGATACGGAGGACCGGAACATCCCCACATTCGTGGAGGGGCTGAAAGACAGGCACGTGAAGAACATTGCCTGCGGGTCGAATTACTCGGCTAGTATTTGTATTCATAAATGGGTTTCGGGTGCGGATCAGTCGGTCTGCACGGGTTGCCGGCAGGCGTTTGGTTTCACCCGGAAGAGGCATAACTGTTATAACTGTGGCCTCGTCCATTGCCATGCTTGTAGTTCCAAAAAGGCTCTGAAAGCTGCGCTGGCTCCCACACCTGGAAAACCGCACCGGGTTTGTGATTCATGTTATCTGAAACTGAAAAAGGCTTCCGAAGGGCAACCGTCGCGTCATTATGCCAAAATGACCGCCCCGTCCCGGCAGTTAGACAGCGGCAGTAGATCGGAGAGGCCAGAAGCTTCCAGAACCTCAAGGGTTCTGCTGTCCCCGACGGTGGAGCCCGTAAAGTATCTCGAGGTCAGGACTACAAAGCCGGGAACCAACAAGGCGGATTCTTATAATATCGTGAGAGCTTCTCAAGTTCCTTCGCTTTTGCAGCTGAAAGACATTGCCTTCCCGAGTTCCTTCAGCTCTCTCCCCTATGGTTTGAAGCCACCTTCACAGACATCTTTATCTCAGCTGCACTCTCCCTCCAACTCCAGGCCTGCTTCACCCTACTCCTCAAGAAGGCCCAGTCCTCCACGGTCTCCAGCTGCTCCTTTGATTTCAAGAGGTGTGGTTGATACTCTTAAGAAGACGAACGAGCTTTTGAACCAAGAAGTTAACAAGCTCCAAATTCAGGTACACATTTCAGATTTGCTTTGGTCTGTTTGGGTTGCGAAAATGATTCGCGGATTATAAACAAACTAAGATTGCTTAATGTTCTCCTATTTTGGATTAAAACAGCTGGGAAGAAATATTGTAAAACTAAAATGAACTGGAATACATAACCACTTAATAAGTTGGTGGGTTTGAACTACTTTTTTACTGGTAAGATGATGTTTGTTGGTCTTGCAGATGAAACATATAAAGCAGAAAAGTGATCTTCAGGACACAGAAATTCAGAAAATGAAGAAAAGTGCGGAAGAAGCTTCTTCACTTGCTACAGAGAGGTTAGCCAAGTGCAGCATTGCAATTGAAACTGTGAAATCCATCAGTGCTCAGGTAAATTACTGTGCTCAAGTTTTAAATGTGAGGAGTTTCAGTGTTTTAACAGTTCTGGTTATCTTTCAACTTAAAGTCTAAAAAAGATGAAAACTAATGTTAATTTAAGACCTGAATGATTGAAAAATATCAATGAAAAGGATTAACAATCATGAATTTTAATTATTATTCATTTTTTAATAAATTTATAATTAAATTAATTAATGCATGATCCATGAAGGAATTTCTAAAGAAAAGTAACACAAAAGTAATTAAAAACAAAGAAGTCAAATTCAATGCTTTTTAGTCATAGATAGATAATTTCCATTTCCCTATTCCTTCTTGATTGATAGCTAATCTATCCTTTTTAACTGTTACAGATAAGTCTAATGCCAAGCTGCATAGGGCTTTGTCACTAATTTTTCCTTCTTTTTTGATCAGTTGAAAGAGATGACAGAAAAGCTGCCTCCTGATATCGCTGAAACTGTTTCCCTTAACTCCATTCAAACCCAAGTTGAATCCTTTCTGGATAACGTCCAGTCTCAAGCCTCTGAAGAGAGAAGCAGCAGTACTCCCACCCAGGAGGCTTCCTCTAATCAAGCAGATGTTGCAGGATTTTCTGACACTTCAAACAGCGTTTATGGGCTTCCACCTCAAGAAAACAACGGATCTTCCAATCAGGGTGTAAATAGTCAATCAGTTGTAGGTGGGACGGGGTCACCTAAAGTTGCAAGTATGGGACAGAGGGAAGTTATTGAACAGTTTGAACCAGGTGTGTATGTAACGCTCCTTCAACTTTCCAACGGTACCAAGATCTTCAAGCGAGTTCGGTTCAGGTAATTTACTAACCAATGAGGTTCTAAATACATAATGATTTGCTGATACTTTTCTTGTGTACCCTACCTCAGCTGCTTTCTGGGTTAGAGTCTACCAGGGTTTTAAATTGCGCTTGTGGTCAGTGCAATAGCCGCTGCAATGTGTATTGCGGCATCGTGTGAATTAATTTTACATTCGCGCGAAATAAGAAAAAAGTATAGTTAGTGACTTAGTGTTGCCGTTTGATATGACTTGATGCGGCTATGTTGCGGTTATGTGCAGTTTTGGCTGTGAAATAGAAAAGCGCTGCAACTGCACTATTGCAGCCGCAACACGTGCTGCAGTCCACAATTTAAAACCATTCAGTCTTCACTATATATGTGCCTCACTTATTTGGCATGGGTTAGTTCCATTATGAATATATTCCCTACTTTTCATTATTTTCTCATCATCGTCATTACCCCAGTGACGCAAAGGCTCCCACTTTTCATTATTTTCTCATGGGGTTGCCTGATCAATAAACTTAAGCCTCTCAAGTTGGCTTTTAATTAATTGAAACATTGTCAAAACTGCACTGCAGTAAACGAAAGTTCGCAGAGCAGCAGGCAGAAGAATGGTGGAGAGAAAACAAAGACAGATTACTGAAAAGGTACAGCCCACCCCCCAAGACTAACGGCAGTGCTTCCACAGAAAAAACAGTCGAGGAAAATAAAGATAGCAGCACCGCATAATTTTCATCAATTGGAGACATTTCTCTGCAGTACCTTTTACTCTCTTTTTACGTTTTCCACTTAAATTTAAAATTTAGAACTAGTGCAATAGTGTTCAAGCTAGAGAGTTTATACATTAGATCTCAACCTTTACTCAGTTTGAGGCAATGTTTATGTCGGATCAAATTTATTATAATCCATTCTTTTATAGTTGTTACATTCTTCCTTTTCACTCCTTAGAGTTACAATTTTATTTCTCTTATCTTTCATATACTATCCCACAAGGAGTACTTTTTTAAAAACTGTTGGCAGGAGGTACTACCATCTTAGATTTAATTTGCGTGAAAACTGTGTCATATCCCGCTGAAAAGAACTGAGTGAGGACAAAGTGAATAAAACGATTGGGCTAAAGTTCGAAAATTTGAACCCTGGCTGAACTGATATTTCCCTGCACTTTTCTGTTTTATGATTCCTTGCTGCCGTTTTGTTTTAAACAAGGAATAATGAAGATGATGATCATACCTTTAACTTGCTTGTGATGAAATTTGTGAAGATTCGGAGAAGAGAGGTGATAAAGTATATGAACTCAGGCTCATGGTCCACACACTCATAAATATATACAAGCGGGCCAAACAAAGCAATTGGACTCTCAGTAGTAAGACCATTTGTAGTGGTCAAGAGTCCAAATAGTTAAATTTGGACTCTGTCCATATGAAAACAATGTTTAGACTCCGTCAATACCGTTTTTCCCTGCATCCTTGCACTGGCAATAAAATACACTCTGCATATTTTTTACATATGAATTTAGTAAAACATTAATTAAATTATTATAAGTAATGTTTTTACTTTTAATTTTTCCCCTGAATAATTATGCAATAAAAATACACATTTTGATGTAAAAATAAATAATTTTCATAATTTTTTTTAAACATTTTTCGGTTAAAAAATGAATTTGTTTAAGAAAAGTTCGATTATAGATTATTCAGTTATTTGTGAAGGCTTCATGAATTAAAAATTTGTGATTCGTTTTTTAGCTCAAGAAACTGCAACAATTAAAATTTCAAAAAAAAAAATCATTTTATATATCACATATGAATGCCATATGAAAGATCATAAAAATTAATGAATTTTGATATATTTTTGGAAAAATTTAGATGACAAATAAAAAAGTTATGTAAGTTTTAAAAAAATTGGGATATAATGATGCAAGGGTGCCTTTCTTTTTCTTTTTTCTTTAATTTTTTCTTTATCCACTCCTCTAAACTCACCCTCTATATTTAACATTCTCCACCCCCCTTTCCCACTTTTACTACCCCTTTTAAACCACCACTACACAATTAGGAGTCCAAAATTCCACATTTAACATTTTGGATTCCTAATACCTCAACACTCTAGATGGTCTAAGGGCATCACCCCCACAGACATCTCAGAAATAGAATAAAAGTTAACGAAAATTGACCAGACAGACCCCTAAGCCCATCTTGACCCACGACATTTAGCATTTCATCCCAAACTAAGACTCCGCCAATTAAGAAAACAAGATCAAGATATTAGTGTTATAGACCTAGCCCATAGCAGTGCTATAAGCCTAGGTGTAGAACTCACTCCTAAAAGACCAGCCGATTAGTAGGAGGGAACACCTTGCTTATAAGCCACCGGCCAAGCCCATACTTGACCGGTGTGGGATCTTAACAATACCCCACGCTTCGAAGAGCCAACGTCCTCGTTGGTCACGACTATGTTGGTCACGGTTGGCACCCCTAGGGCCCAAGCCACCACTCCATAGACCACTACTCCGAGAGTCCGAGTGTTGGGACTAGGAAAATGGGGATGACTCTGATACCAATTGTAATGATTTAGGCTATAGAAGCGAAAATCATTCAAGATAAGCGTAAGAATTCTAAAGAGCAGAATAAAATTCGAACATGGCAGATCGCAGAGTATAAGAAGAGAGAAAGGAGATCATCAATGGAGTATATTCAGTAGTTCATAACCGGTCCAACCAAGTGTTTATATACAATATGATCTCAGTTACAATCATAACCAAATGGAAACCAACTATTAACTACCACTCTACACATGTGTGCCAATTTGGACTCGGATAATGCTGCAGCTGACGTGGCTAATGGATGTGGCCCGAGTAATAACAATCCACCCTCCTTACAAACAGCTTGTCCTCAAGCTGTCAAATGTCTCTCCACAAACTCAGGAAATCTTTTAGTTAGCTCTTCATAGTCCTCCGAGGTAGCATCCTCTTTCTCCCCATTTGACCACTGAATTAACCAATACACCACAACTTGATTTCTTTTCTTTGCAACCTTTCTTTCCAGCACCGCAAGAGGTTCAACCCTTATAATTCATTGATCATCCAACTGTGGCATATTTAGATGAGTAGGAATTTCACCCTTGTGTTTCTTGAGTTGTGAAATGTGGAAAACTGGATGTATTCTAGCCTCTTCTAGTAGTTTGAGTTTGTATGCTACTTGTCCCACCCTTTTGAGGATTTCAAAAGGTCCAAAGAATTTACGGCCCAGTTTAACATTCATTCTTTTTGCTACCGATTGTTGTCTATAGGGTTGTAACTTGACATAAACCCATTCTCCCACCTACAGCTCTTTGTCACTTCTTTGTTGATCAGCCTGATTCTTCATTCGATCTTGGGCTCTTTTCAAATGGAATTTTAGCAATCTGATACACTCTTCTCTAGCCCTGAGACTCCTATCTACCGCTTCTACTGGGCTGTTTCCAATAACATATGGAAAATGTATGGCTAGGGTCTGACCATACACTACTTCAAAGGGAGTGGTTTTTATGCATGGATGAATGAAAGTTGGTGTTATACCACCATTCTGCCATTGAGATCCACTTTGCCCATTCCTTGGGATGCTCACCTGTCATACATCTCAAGTAGGTCTCTAAACACTTATTCACACTCTCAGACTGCCCATCAGTTTGAGGGTGATAAGTTGTAGACATTTTCAATTCCACCTTTAACATTCTAAATAATTCTTTCCAAAACTTGCTAATGAACACCTTGTCTCTATCACTTACTATGGATTGGGGAAGTCCATGTAGTTTAAAGACATTATCTAGGTATTCTCTGGCTACGGTGCTAGCTTGATAAGGATGACTGAGCAAGATGAAATGAGCATACTTGCTAAGTCTGTCAACAACTACAAGTATGGTGTCTTTATTCTGAGATTTAGGAAGCCCTTCTATAAAATCCATAGATATATCTTTCCATATAATATCAGGGATATGGAGAGGTTGTAATAAACCTGCAGACTTAGATAAAAGGGGTTTGTTTCTCTGGCAGTTCCTACAAGTGGCTATCCATTCTTTAACATTCCTCTTCATCTTCTTCCAAAAGAATAATGTTGTAAGTCTGTGATAAGTAGCTTGAATCCCTGAGTGCCCTCCAATAGCAGACCCATGTATCTTCCATTAGAAGCTTCTGTTCATGACACTCAGTCCCATATCAATGACAACATCTGCCCCCCCCTCCAATACTATTATTGTTGCTAACGATTTGCTAATGACATTCATGTAATTTCCATATTTAAATTTGTGTTTTAACTAGTTTCGAGTGATTGTTACTTTGGAAATTACACACTTTTGGTGTAAATAGTTTAGTTTGTAAAATATTTGTAATATGTTTAGATTAGGTTCATTCTGAGCTCAAACAGGTCCAAGTACACTTTGGAGACCATTGGTGAACATCACAAGTGCAAGGAAGGTGCAAGAATACAAGAAAAAAAAGTGAAGATCTCGTTTTTGGTCTGTACCCGGTCGGGTATGACCTATACCTGGTCGGGTACCCTTCTGAAAAATCGAATCAGATCAAATCCGGGAACAAGGCATCATGCGGGAGGATTTTAACACGTTCGGGTGTCCATACCCGATCGGGTGACCGACAGACCCGATCGGGTATGACCCCTTTTCCAGCTTCGAAGAAGCCACCTTTTATACCCGATCGAGTGAACTGAAAACCCGATCGGGTACACGACCCTGCAGGCCTAAAAAGCCTATAAATACACCCCATTTCCTCCACAATAAACCACCAATTCCTATATACTTCTTAGTTCAGTTTAGACAAGTTCTTTCTTTATATTTTTCATCATGTTTAGTCTCCAAATGAGGAGCTAAACTCTTCCATCTTGGTTTTGCTACTTTGAAGCTTAATGAATTGTAAGTTGTGAGTTATTTTCTTTAATCTTCTTCCTTGAATATTAATTAATTCCTATTCCTATTACATATTAATATTTTGAGCAATACTTAAAGGATCAACTAGTTTTGTTTCATATATTAATTAACACTAGAATCGGTCGATTAATACGCTTGTTATTAACTCGGTCCTTTCACGGTAGTAAACTTGGGTTGTTAATGCATGCGTCTCATGGTTAATAAGCCAAGGGGAATTAATTATATTGATTAAACCAATAAACTGCTTGTGTTGAGGTTATCAATCTCAATCGTTTTCATCTTGATTTTATTGCTACTATCGAGTAAATATATGGCGCGTGTTCTATATTAACTCGGTAGTAAGTTTTATTAATGAACGCGTCTCGTTATTAATAACTACCCTCGATGAATTGGATATACTCCTCGATTGAGTATTCGAGAGGAAGATAGTTAAAGATATAACCGGGATCGACGAACATTTCATTAAGTGGATAAAAGCAAAGCCAAGTCTTCTTCTCATTAATTAAACCACATAACTCGTTCATCTTCGTGTTCAATTTTAATTAAAATCATTCAATCAAACCCCCCCCCTTTATTTATTAGTTTATAAAAAGAGAAGTATTCCTTTCCCTGCGGATACGAACCTTACTTCAATATACTACGTATATTTGTTGTATTGTATTTATTTTGATTGCACACCACGACAAAGTGTACGTCAAATTTGGCGCCGTTGCCGGGGAAAGGCAACCATTTTTCTTTTTATTTTATTTCAAGAAAAATCAAAAAAATTAATTAACCAAAAATATAAAGGGTTCTTATTTTTCTATTTCTGAGTTTTGTGAAGTATATGGTCCGGTATCGTTCTATAAACGAAATCACTTATCAAGCAAATCCCGAAATAGAACAAGTCTTCGAGAGGTTGAGAAATTTAATACCGCACATACCCTCGGAGGAAACCTCAAACGCTAGCTCCAGTTCTAGCGAATTTGAAGAGCCAATCACTATGGCTCAAGAAACAAGAACCTTGAGGGAGCTCACAGCTCCGAACTTGAATCAACAACCGTTATGTATTACCTTCCCTACACTCAACGAGGG